TCTACCCGAGTTCCACACACTGCTCTGCGTGTGCCATCCAAAGAGAGACCCGAAGGCGGAGACCACCCTCGAAAAAGGGTTGAAACGCGAAATTACGGGCACCGTGCTCGTCGGCCGCGGAACAGTGTTGCTTCTTTTCGGCGATATTATCCACTTTTCCGCTTTCACGTAAAACCCAAGCGAATCGATCGCGTTCCAGTAGCACCGGTTATGCCTGTCAAGCGATCGGCATCGTAAGCGCGGCGTGCTCTCTCTCGCTCGGCGTTCGCTGTTCCAACCGCGAGAGATCGTTCTGTCATTGACAGCGAGGGTAGAAAGATCATCCGATCGTCGTGTCGGTGCGTGCATCCTCCACGGTTTTTCACTCGGTGATACGATCGAGTTCGTTTTGTTTTCCAGTTCTCAAGTCGTCGATCCGTGTTCGCAGTTGTTCAACCTGGGAAAGTAATAAGTAACGGGGTGGAGGGGCTGCGAGACAGAAGGAGGTGAAGTGCGTCCAAGTGGTTCGCGTGTGTGCCTTCGAGGGGGCGAAAGAAAGAAGAAAGAAAAAAGAGAAAACGGTGCTTCCCGCTTGTAGTTTTCCCTTCGACTCGACGACGAGGGAACACCAAGCGACGACGATCAACGCGAATAAACACGCAGATTGGAGCGGATCGAGAAGGAAACGGAGGAGAGGGCCGTTAGTGTCGCGTCGAAATTCTCGAAAAAGGATAGCCGTTGTTGATAAACAAAGTGAAGGAGGAGTGTCAGCGGTTGACTACTCGGGTGCAACGACAGCGCCGATACAAATTTCCTTTTCTCGATGTCCTGATAATCGATAAACGTCGTATAGGTGGTAGAGGACCTACCACCTAGGCCGCCGGTAGCGATCGGCCTTATCGACATCGAAATTTCGTTTTGCCGAGGGACATTCTTAAATAAATGTTGAGAAAAGCCAACGCGTTTCATCCCTCAACGCGAGGTCAGCCGAGGCTCCCGAGTATACCAAGAATCGTCGGGATGCCGATCTCCCTGAGAAATCACAGGATCACGTAAAACCGGACCCGGCTGTTCGTTGAATTCTGAAAAAGAACATCCCCTCGTTAGGGACGTACTCAGGCGCACCAGCACACAACACGAAGACGAAAGAACTCGTCGCGAGGCGGTGTAGGACTCGTTTCGTCGATTCGCTGTTCGCGAACCGATGCACCAAAAGGCGTGAGTACTGCCACGTTAACGCTGAACCCTGATACCAACCGATACGACCGACTGATTATTCTTTACTCAGAACGAACGACCAAGAACGAGAACGAGAAAATTAACGACAAAGCATTTGGAAAACGTCAAATAATCTTCAGATTTCAATCTACCGGAATTTCTAGCAGACTGCTTTAAAATTCGACACGGTAAACTGTCGAATGTTTCTGTGTGCTACCTTTCTCAAGCAAGAATATAAAAATCGATTACTTGCTAAAACAGAAGAGAAAACATCGTGCATGTTTTACAAAAGTGTTTCACATGTTAGCACAACACAGTATAAAAGTGATCGTTCATCAGAAGTTACAACGTTTGTCGTGCAAACTTTCGAACGTCTACGAACGATTCATCGTTCGCTAAACTCGTTTAAAAAAAAAAAAAAAAAAAAAAAAAAAAAAAAAAAAAAAAAAAAAAA